AGTACCAAGAGCTTGGATTAGAAAGCTAGATTATGCTGGGGGGTGGTGGTGCATGACTTTAATCCCAACTCAGGCAGAGGCGGGTGAATCTCTGTGAGTTCAAGACTAGCCTGGTCTACAGAGTTAGTTCCAGGACAACCAGGGCTATAAAGAGAAACCCTGTCTTGAAAAGCAAACAAAACAACAACAAAGAAAACTAGATTGTACTGAGCCTGGTAGAAGGACTCTTTCCTGAGGCAGGAGGATTGTTAGGTGCAAGGTCAGCCTCGCCAATTTAAGACTCTGGTCTCAAAAAAAAAGTAAAGGGTAGGAGATATGGTTTAGTGGGTGTTTGCCTAGCACAGGTGAGACCCCAGTTCAATAGAGTGGAAATGGAGTCTAGGCTACCCAGGTCTGGATCCTGACTCCACCATTATTCTTGTACAATCTTATTTAAGTTTTTTAATCTCTTTTTATCTCAATTTTCCTAACACTAAAATGGGAATAGTGATTGTGCCTACCTCTTAGGTATTCATACATACATACATACATACATACATCAGGGTTTAGGAAGGCCTGTAAAATATCCTCCCAAAAAAGTAGTTATTGCTGGGTATGGTGGTACACACCTGTAATCCCAGCCCTCAGGAGAAGTGGGGAACTTCCGTGAATTCAAGCCTCACCAGGGCTGCTCAGAAAGACCTCAACAAACAAACAAACAAACAAACAAACAAACAAATAAACCCAAGAGCTAGGGTGTGATAATGTGTGCCTTTAATCCCAGCACTCAGGAGGCAGTGGCAGGTGAGTCTGAGTTTGGGGCCAGCCTGGTCTACAGAGCTAGTTTCAGGACAGCCAGAGCTACACAGAGAAACCCTGTCTTGAAACACCAAAAAAGAGAAAAGAATAGAAAAAAAATTAGGGCAAAAAAGTCTAGACATTTTTTAAAATGGTGTGTTCAGACAGTAGTACTAGATAACCTCAATATCACTTTTGATTGCCTTTCTTTATTTTTCCAAATTCCCGATAATGAATGTGACCTTGAGTCAGCCATTTAACTTGTCTGAGTCTGGTCTCCAGCATGGGCACAGAACAGCACTGTATAGTACATACTAATATATTTTTTTTGCACTGCACTGTGAAGATGAAACAAAATATTCAAGTGTAGTGCCTACTATATAACAAGGACTGAAAGGAAGGAAGGAAGGAAGGAAGGAAGGAAGGAAGGAAAAAAGGAAGGAAGGAGCAGACAATTGTCCTGCCTGTTTTTCTGTAGCCTTCAAGTCCATTTCCTAGAAAATAGCAGGATGGTCTAGTTGCACCTGTCATGGCTTTCTTCAGTCCTACCTTGGTTATCCTGGCTAGAGCACAAACTCCCTGAGCCCTTATAGTGGGACAGAATTTAGGAAAATCAAATTCCAGCAAATTTTTGCTCTCTGCATCTGAGCTACTTATAAAGGATGCTATGTGTATGAGGAAGAGTTCCACAGTGAAGGGTGGTCCCTACCTTGCAGGCCAAGGATACTAGCCTTTTCAGAGGTAGAATGCTGGACTCCCACGTAAGCTGCCTTCCCTTGTATTTCTGCACAGGCAGACATCTTTAGTCGGGACTGCTAATGTTCCTTCTCCACTTGGCTCTTTTGTTTGTTTTGAGACAGGGTTTCTCTCTTGCTACAGCCCCAGCAGTCTCAGAACTCAGTAGGCAAACCAGGCTGGCCTTGAACTCACTGATTTGCCCTCCCAACTGCTGGGACTAAAGGTGTGGGCCACCACGCCCAGCCAACTTGGCTAATTGTTTATTATTCTTAAAGGCTTAGCTTCAAAGAACATTCTTGGAAACCCCAAATTTCCACCGTGATTCAATAAAACACCCTGGCAGGGACTTCCACCAGGATAAGCCCCACTTAAGGTCATCAAAGTGACCTGAATTCCTTTACCTAGCCTACCTTATGCACTCCAAGGAAAAGAACCCAAAGCCACAAAAAGAGAGACATTCAAGTCAGGCGTTTCAGGAAGAGTGCTGGAATGACTATCTGAAGAACAGGTCCTTCCTATCCTTCCAGCTTCAAACACTGCAATCTTTCCTGCAGACAGGCACACAGGAAAGTGTCTCTGCTGCTTGATGGCATCAGTTGAGGGTTTACCTGCCGGAGCATCATGCTTTAGCGTGGGCAGCCAGAGTTGTGTCACAGACACAAGCAGTACTGTCTATCAACCTGGTCATGAGGTCATCACTCCAGCAGACTCAGCCAAGTCTTCTTGGAACCTGTAGCGTGAGACGGAAGACAAGGGCCACACAGGTGATGGCTTCTCTGGGGGTGACTCATTCCTGCTCCTCCCACCAAGCAGGAGGCACCCAAATGAGAATCGGGCAGGCCTGGGCAGAGAGTGAGAGTCTGTGCTTTCCCTTGCTAATCAAGAAGTTAGGAAACTTTGCTGAGAGCCTCCAGAGATGACCTGGGATGCCTTCTGGCGTTTCCCTTACAGAAAAAGGCCAGGGGCAGTTTTAAGGTAAGTAAGTGATGGGCTGGGGTTGCAAAATCTTCCCGTTCAGTACGTCGTGGAGAATGAAGACACTGGGGAGAAATAACCTTGGCTCGCTCTATCGTCACCACTAGACAGAAATGCCCTTTGTAAACATGTAAACGTAGTCATCAGCTGGTGGAGAATGTGCCTGGAGTCAACTCTATGCTCCTGGGAAGCTCTTGTATGAGAAGGGAATCACAGTTCAGTCACTGGATGAGTATGTGACTCCACGGCAACCCTATCACCCCAAATCCTCACCTTGAAAATAGGGATAGTTAATCTACCTTACTTCGGAAGTTTGTGAAGGTCAATGAGGTCAAGGTTTGAAAGCACAGTACAAATCTGATTATCACTGAGTATGAATATTAGCATTACCTATAGAGTTGATAACCCATTTGGGGCCACTGATCAGGCATGGAAGGTCCACTGCCCAAAAGTTGTGATTGAGATTGGGAACACTCAGGAGGCTGAGGCAGGAAGATCTCAGTTTGAGGCCAGTCTGGGCTACACTGTAGGTAAGACCTTGTCTCAAACAATCGAGATGAGAGCCGGAGAGAAGAACCCACCTGAAAGGAGGAGCAGCCTGAGGGCAGGATCTGAAAAAATGGCAAGCCTCACTCAGACATGGCCGTTCACAGACCGCAATCCCTGCCTAGCAAAGAGGGTTGAGGATGAGGGACATCGAATATGGGTTGATGGATTAACCCTGCTACAGACGTTTTGAGGCTCTGACCACACCTAGTCTTTAAAGAATCAGGACCAGGGACTTCCATGGAAACAGGGAGAGGAAAATTCAAACAGAAAAGGGTATCAGGACTGGGCTAGACACCATCACTCTGTACACTGTACTCCATCACCCGAGGGTCTCTGGAGACTCAGCTGGAAGGCCAACCAGGAGACCACAACAGCGTCGTTAGAACCCAAAGTTCACAACCCTCCTAAAACACGGCGCAGGAGCTCTCTAACTCTCGTTTTCACACAATTGCCAATGGTATACTACCATACCACAGAGTGTAAAATTATGGCCCGTGTGGTTAAGTACCTGTGAGAAAGCTTAGGAAAGGCTGCTGATTACGGTGCAGCGTCAGCTCCCGGCTGAAGCCAAGTCAGATCAGAGCAGTTTCCTCCAGTTCTCCCGGCTCTCTCCTCTCTCGGTTACCACCAAGAATTTCTGGGAAGGGCGTGACCACAGTAGACAGAAGGGAGTAATGAATAGGTAAAAGACCAGTCCAAGTCCAAGCAAGTGGCAACCCGATCACAACCCCCTCCTCCTCCGCCCCTGCTTCAGTTAGTTTCTCTTCGGGCAGGAAGGACAGTCGGAAGACTGTGAGGGAAATAGATGGGTTAGGGTCTTGGGGGTCCTTCCCTCTTTGCTCCAGATTCCTGGCGGGACCGGCACTTATAGCATTGGCAACGCGCCAGCGGTGCCCAGGGCTGGGATGCCACTCGAAGCACCTGGCACTGAGAGACTACGTCCTTCCGGGAAGGTGGATGTGACCCTAGTCAAGGGCGCATTTTCCTTACGCCTCTCACTCCGTCCCTGGGTAGGACAAGGAAAGGGACAGAAGTCCAGTCCCGATTAGCCAGAAACAACCCCTTGTGGCCCCCTGCTGGCAAGCTGGAAAGTGACCGTGAAGGTCCTTGTCTAGGGCAAAAGCTGTGCTACCTCCTCCTGAGGTCCCAAGAGGGTAGAAAGAGAAATAATGAATTAGAAGGTGAGGTGCCTCCTTCACACGTCAGCTATGAGAGGCACACCCTGGCCTCCCTAACCCCTCGGGCCGTGAGGGGCTTCGGATCTAGGCGGGGAGTGGCACTCACCGGTCCCACGGTCTGGGAGCCCAGCGTGTAGTCCCAACCGGGAAGGTGGGCAGGGTGAGGCGGTGGGAAGAGCCCGGGGAGGGAAGAAAGCAGAAAGAGCGGGAGCGCCTAGGAAAGAAAGCCCGCAACTCCGGCTCGCCCGCCCGCGGCCCGCAGTAGCCCCGGCTAAGTGGCCGGGAGCCCGGCGGCTCCTCCCCGGGGGCGGGGCGTGCACACGCGGCGCCGGGCGCACGTGGTCCGTCCCGGGCCGCAGGCTCTGGCCGGCGGGCTACGGGAAAGGTGAGGTCTTTTCAGACCCTGGGGTAAGGTGGGGTGTTTCTGTGGCCTCCCGACTTCGGCGTGGGTGAGCGTGGCTTCCGGGGGCTCGGGAGCCGGTCTAGTGCAGGTCGCCGTGGCCGAGTCTGACGCGGCCTTCTCGGACCGCCATACGGCTGGGTCTCGAGAGGATCGGAACGAATCCAGCCCAATACACCGAAAGGCGTGGGGAGCCAGCGGGGCGGGGACCGTCGCCATCCCGGGCAGGGGCGCGCGGAATCTGCGGGCCCGGAAGAACAGGCTGCGCCGCGCCGAGCCGGAAGCGTTGCCCTCGAGGCGGAAGCGGAGGGAGCGGGCTGGTGCGGTGGGAGCCTGTTCTGTCAACGCCGAAGACCCTCGGTCCCGGACGGGGCGTGGCTGTGACGAGATCCGTCTGGGAAAGGCCAAAACAGCAGGGCCACTTACGGTGAGATGCCGATGCCGGGCCCAAGTAGACCCGCGTGGACCACCTCAGGGGCAGTGCACACAGTGCTTCGTGTCTGATCGACGGGTGTGTGCCCTCACAGTGAGTAACTTTTCAGTATGTGACAGAGGAGAGTTTAGGCTGCGGAAAAAGAAACCACGAGCTCTGGCGTGTACAATGCATCCCATCCCCACCAGCCCCTTAATCTGAAAATATGGCCGTGTGTATACGAGGAAAAGAAGAACGTGCCTCTCATGCGTTCACCTCTAGGTGCCAGGACCCTGACTAAAATACACTGAACAGTTTTTCTCTCTCTTCCTTCCTGAAGTTTAAAGTCCATAGCAATGCATATGCAGCTTTCTTGAAGGTTTTCATAACATATCAGTATATATCACGATGTGCATATAACTATAGCTAAAATTACTTTATATGTAAACATATGTATGTGGGTATATATATATATATACAGAGAGAGGGAGAGAGAATGTTATGCTTCGCAATTGACTAGGGACTGGAGAGATGGCTCAGAGATTCAGAGCACTGGCTCTTCTTTCCAGAGGTCCTGAGTTCAATTCCCAGCAACCACATAGTCACTCACAATTATCTACAATGAGATCTGGTGCCCTCTTCTGGCCTTCAGGGGTACATGCAGGCAGAACACTGTAAACAATCTTTTTTTTTTTTTAAAAAAAAAGAAATTTCTGACTCATGCCATTTGGGATTCATATCCCAGATTTTCTTTTTTTTTCTTTCTCCTCTCTCTCTCTCTCTCTCTCTCTCTCTCTCTCTCTCTCTCTCTCTCTCTCTCTCTCTCTCTCTCTCTCTCTCTCTCTCTCTCTCTCTTTCTGACAGGGTTTCTTTCTGACAGGATTGTAGCTCTAAAGCCTGTCCTGGAACTAGCTCTTTGTAGACCAGCTGGCCTTGACTCACAGAGATATCCGCCTGCCTCTGCTTCCCCAGTGCTGGGATTAAAGGCGTGCACCACTGCCACCCGGCCAGATTTACTTTCTTAAGGACCAGGTCTGGCTGGGCGTGGTAGCACACACCTTTTAGCACGAGTGATGGGGTGGGGCAGAGGCCGGGGAGTTCAAGGTCAGCTTGCTCCACGCTACGAGTTCTAGGCTACACAGTGAGACCTTGTCTTAGGAAAAGACAAGGTTTCAGGTAGCCAAGTTGGCTGGGAACTAAGGATATAAGCAAGGACCATCTTGTGTCTTTAAGTGATGCTTCACCACACCCAGCTTCCAAATGGACTTTCGTTGTGAGTTTGCCTTATAGTGAAGATACAACTTTGTACAAGAAATTTCATACTCTTCTTTCTTTTTTGTTTTATTTGTCGAGACCGGATTTTTCTGTAGCTTTGGAGCCTATCCTGGTACTAGCTCTTGTAGGCCAGGTTGGCCCCAAACTCACAGAGATCCACCTGCCTCTGCCTCCTGAGTGCTAGGACTAAAGGTGGGGCATCACCACCTGGTGGGCGTAAACTTCTGTTCTGCCCACTTGTTTGTACGAGTGAGGGTGTCAGATCTGGAAATAGAGTTACAGACAATTGTGAGCTGCCATGTGTGTGCTGGGAATTGAACCCGGAACCTCTAGAATAGCAGCCAATTAACTGTTGAGCCATCTCTCCATCCCCTAAACTTCTGTTCTGAAACCAAGAAATATTTACTGACTTTACAGCAATATTGTTTCCCTCAAATCCATTCTTTTGTATCATTTTCACAGGAAGAAACAAAATGTCTCAAAAGCAGATGAAGGAAGCTTTTGTCAGTAATCTCAACGGGACCAGCGTGCTGGAAGTGACCCAGGGCTTGTGCTTCCCTGCATTCTGTATCCTGTGTCGAGGCCTTTTGATCATTTTCTCACAGCACGTGTGTTCTTTCTCACACAGCTGGAGCACACGCTTCTTCATGGACTTTGTTGTCCTTGTAGTCCCCTTGGTGATCACTATGACTCTGTTGTCTCCGTTTATCCTACTTGAGAATCTCACTGCAGTTGCCTGTGGGGCATGGCTGTTGTATCAGATATACCAGAGGAGGACTTGCCAAGCCAAAGTGCCTGTTCAGAAGGTCTTTGCAAACTTCTTGCAAATCAGCCTAGAATCAGAGTACAGTCCAGCCGTCACTTATTACCGGGTCATTAATAGTGTGTTTACTGCTATTGCCATTTTGGCTGTGGATTTCCCACTGTTCCCTAGAAGATTTGCCAAAACTGAGCTTTATGGGACAGGGGCAATGGATTATGGAGTAGGTGGCTTTATTTTTGGGGCTGCAATGGTTTGTCCAGAGGTTAGAGGGAAACATGTAGAAGGGTCCAGATTTAATTATCTTAGAAAATCACTGTATTCTGTCTGGCCCTTAGTTGTCTTAGGAATGGGACGGTTAGTCATTATAAAATCCATAGGCTATCAGGAACATTTAACTGAATATGGTGTTCACTGGAATTTTTTCTTTACTATCGTAGTTGTGAAATTAGTAACATCACTTCTTTTGATTATTTTTCCTTTAAATAAGTCCTGGGTTGTGGCTGTTAGCCTTGCTGTGTTATACCAGCTAGCTCTTGACTTTACTCCACTCAAGAGGATAATTTTGTATGGCACTGATGGTAGTGGCACGAGAGTGGGCTTACTAAATGCCAACCGGGAAGGCATAATTTCCTCTTTGGGGTATGTGACAATATACATGGCTGGCGTGCAAACAGGGTCGTCTGTGCTTAAGAATAGAACACACATCAGAGACTGGATAAAAGTGACTTGTTGTATTCTCTTAGTGGCTGTTAGCTTTTTCATTTCTCTTTATATAGTTCAAGTGAATGTAGAAGCCGTATCTCGTAGAATGGCCAATTTAGCCTTTTGTGTGTGGGTGGTTGCTTCTAGCCTGATGCTTCTTAGCTGTCTGTTACTGAGTGATATAATTTTGAGTTTTGCCAAATTTCTAATTAAAGGGGCTCTAGTACCATGTTCTTGGAAACTTATACAGTTGCCTGCTACAAATAAAAAACATTCCAAACCTCTAATCCTAGAAGCTGGGAAAAAAGAGCCCAGTCTTTGTTTAATCACAGCTCTGAACAGAAACCAGCTGTTTTTTTTCTTACTGTCAAATGTAACAACTGGTCTCATTAACCTGACAGTGGATACACTGCACAGTGGTGCCTCCTGGACTTTAGTTGTGCTTGGTATTTATATGTTTGCCAACTGCTTAGTTATCTATCTACTTGATTTACAAGGTAAAACCACAAAGTTTTGGTGATGAATTTGTAGGCTATATATATTTGAACAGCATTATTTTAGTGGAGGAGAATAAATGTGAAGGAAATGTGCTCTCAGCAATCCAGTCTTCTGTTTTTGTTTTTTTTTTTTTTCATTTGTTTGTTTTTGTTTTTTCGAGACAGGGTTTCTCTGTGGCTTTGGAGCCTGTCCTGAACTAGCTCTGTAGATCAGGCTGGTCTCGAACTCACAGAGATCCGCCTGCCTCTGCCTCCCGAGTGCTGGGATTAAAGGCGTGCGCCACCACCACCCGGCTTTTTTATTTTTTCCATCTCTTTAAAAATTGCCCACGGGTAAGACTACACACACATCACTGGGCACTGGGGGAGGACACTCGCTGTAAGCATGGCCTGGCCTGCAAGGGTGATGGGGGCGTGGATCTGGCCTCACTGTGGCCACTGGTGAAGGATGGAAATGAGCTGGTCAGCCTCAGCAAAGACTGGGAGCAGCGGTCGAGGGAAAGACGTGCGGTGGATGTGAAGCACCGTCCCTGAGGCAGGCTCACAGAAGACCAGCTCTCCTGCTTGGAGGTCCAGCAGCACGCCCAGTTGTGCTGGGTACCGAAACAACACCAGAGGCTCATGCTGCCCATTGTGTGAAAAATGGAACTCTTGATCATAACGGGAGAAGACCCAGGAGAAGGCAGGCATTGTGGTCCAGGCGGCAGTTCCTACCAGAACCCTTTCTAGGCAGCTGGGCTGAGGCTACACCCTCTCTATAAGCACAGCTGTGCTGAACATTCACTATCCAGGCATGGAGTCCGGCCGGAAGGTGGTGGCAGCCAAGGCATTAGGCCAGAGGTCAAAGAGCTCTGGGTCATCTGAGCAGGCTTGGACCTCTTGGCACTGAAGGTCAGGGTCCTTCAATCTTCAGACAAATGCAACAAGGGGTTGACAGTCCTTTCATTGACATCTCCTCCATGCCTGAGAGAGCCCCGAGACCCGATGTTGCCCAGAGCTGAGTCAGTAGTGGGCTCCAAGCACTCTTCTAGTTAAAGCTTAATTTGTCCGACTCCTGGGGATCCAAAATGCCCTCTGCTTCCTCAGCTCTCTCAACAATCTCGTGAATACGCTGGAGGTCATCCAGATGAGTGAGCATGCCCACCAGGCTGGTACAGAGGGTGTCCAGCTTTTTCAATGCCTCAGTCCAATGTGCCCGCTGAGTCAGGATACTCTGGTGAGCCCGCTCCTCTTCCCTGAGCACTTGCTCCAGCAATCACTGTTCCTCAGGCTCACACAGGTTCCTCACCAGGCTCAACCTCTGGATAACCAGCTCCCTCGCTGCACTAGCCGTGCTCACTGCTTCTGGTTCTTCCCTTGCAGGACCTCCACCACTTTCTTGGTGATGCCAGCGCTCTGTAACTGCAGCCTCTCACATTGGTCCACAATCTTGTTTCGCAGCTCCTTGGCGGATGCGGTGCCCATCACAGCAGCTGCCCAACCTGACGCAGGCGGCGCATACCGCATACCAGCCATCTCTCGAAGAGGCAGAACTCGCTCAGAGGCTCTCTGTGCTCGGAACAGAACTGGTCCGGCTCTGATTCCAGCCGGGCTATGTTGAGAGACCCTCATGAAAAAAAAAAAGCGAAACAAAGTCTTGTGACTTACTGGAACTTATGTCAGTATTTTAAAGACCTTGTTCACAGGATTTCATTTTGTCTGGAGCTCACTGTGGTGCTTGTACCTCAGCCTCAGCACAGGAATTTCAGGCATGAGCCACCACACCCGACCTGTCGGTAGTTTTGACACTGGAAAATGGAGGGTGGGATTTTTTACTGTCTATATATCATTCCATTGTATTTGTGATTGTTTGTATGAATATATATTGTAAAATTATTTTTGTGTTACATGATGTTTACATTAAGATATTTATGAATTGTCATTTAAAATTTTTGTATGTGTGTATATTTTGCCTACATGTATGTACATCACAGGTGTGCATAGCTCACAGAGGCCAGAAAAGGGGGTTAGATACCTTGGGCCTGGAGTTACAAATAGTTGTGAGCTGCCATATATGAGTGCTAGGAATTGAATGAACCTGGGGCCTCTGGAAGAGAAGGAAGTACTCTGAATCACTAAGCCATTTTTTTCCACTTCCTTTATTTCATTTAATTGGGAATCTCACTATGTGTGCTGATCTGGAACTCAATCTGTAGACCAGGCTGTCCTCAAACTCATAGAGATCCGATATCCTTTGCTTCCTGAGAGTTCGAATCAAAAGTATGTACCACCATGACTAGAAAATACAGATTTTCAATATATCTTCTTAAAGTTTTCTTTTTATTAAATTTATTCCTTTCTTCTTAAGTGTGTTTTGCCTGTATGCATGTATCTTTTGCCTGTATGTATACCACAAGCATGCTTAGTGCCTGAATGGATTAGAAGAACATTTGATCTCCTGGCATGGAGTCATGGATGTTTATAAATGACTATGTGGGTATTGGGAATCGAACCTGGGTCCTCTGCAGGACTAACAAATGCTCTTCACCATTTGAGCCATTCCTCCTGCTACACACACACACACACACACACATATATATATAGCAAGTTTTTTCAGGTACCTGATACATTTTACTTTTTTCCCATCAAAGACAAAGTTTTTTTTTTTAAGATTTATTTATTTATTTAGTTATTGTGTATACAACATTCAGCTTCCATGTATGCCCACACACTAGAAGAGGGCGCCAAATCTCATTACAGATGGTTGTGAGTCACCATGTGGTTGCTGGGAATTGAACGCATGACCTTTGGCAGAGCAGCCAGTGCTCTTAACCACCGAGCCATCTCTCTAGCCCCAAAAGACAAAGTTTTGATACAGGATCTTAACTATGTAGTTCACGTTAGCTTTGAACTCTCCCTGTAGCTCAGACTGTTGTGTTGTCGTGGTTTCTGTCCTGCCCAGTTCCTGCAGTAGTTAAGTCCCAAAGAAATCACACAGAGGTCTACATTAGTTATAAACTGATTGGCTCATTAGCTCAGGCTTCTTATTAATCTTACAACTTATATTAGCCCATTATTCTTATGTTAGCCACAGGGCTCAGTACCTTTTTCAGCGAGGCAGTCACATCTTGCTTTTCCTGTGGCAGGGCAGGACTGCAGAGGAATGGGTTTTCCTCTTCCCAGAATTCCCCTGTTCTCATTGACCGCCTCTACTTCCTGTCTGGCTACTGGCCAATCAGTGTTAATTTAAATATAATCGACGGAATACAGAACATTTTCCCACACCAACTGTGTGGCATTTATGATCATGATCATCCATCCTCAGTTTCTCAAGTGCTATTCAAGTGTTAAGACTGATTCGTTGTAGCCTACCCTGTGTTAGGCATGCAGTAATAAAGCACAACTAAGGTATGCATCCTGTAATCAGAGCAGTCAGGCTGTGGCAGGAGCTAGAGTTCAAAGCTAGCCTGGAGTTACAAATGGTTGTAAACTGCCATATATGGAGCAGGTCATAGAGATCTGCCATCAAAAGATAAATTTCTAATATCTTGAAGCTTTCAGTCTAGTGAAGGAAAGCACATTAAACGGATATAAATATTGAGTCATAGAAAAAGAAACACCTATGGACTGTTATAAGTGTCAAACCAAGACCAATCTAGGAAGGAATCAAATTTTTTTCCATAGATGGATATTTTTGAGGCAATGCTAATGAGTGATACACATATTTGGATAAAAGGGTAGACAGCAGGGAATATTCTATGCATAATGTCTCTGTCAGCAAGTTGTAAGTTGGGAGGTAACCTATGCAACTCAGAAAAAGGAGTGTGGGGGGGCTGGAGAGATGGCTCAGTGGTTAAGAGCACTGACTGATCTTCCAGAGGCCCTGGGTTCAAGTCCTAGCACTCACATGGCAGCTTACAACTGTCTATAACGCCAAGATTGGACATACATGTAGCAAAACACTCATGCATATATGTGTGTGTGTGTGTGTGTGTGTGTGTGTGTGTGTGTGTAGTGTGGGATGTAAGCTGGAGAAACAGGAAGGGACCAGAGAAGGCAGCCACAACTATGGGAAAGAGAATCAAGAAAATCTGTGAGAAATGAAATCTTCAAGCATATAGTCTAATAAAAATGCGGTTACATTAAGGCTTAGTAGTCTGCTGAGAACTGGAATGGTTTAAAATTTTCAAGCAGATCATTCAGTTGTTAAGTCTAAAGGTTTAAAAAAATCACAGGGTCTTTAATTTCTAGTTCTGATGTCCAATGTGTATATTATTTCTTTTGGTTTCTTGAGATAGTCTGTATAGCTTTGGCTGGTCTGGAACTGGGTAGGCCAGGTCTAGACTCAAAACTCATGGAGATTCATCTGCTCTGAAGTGCTGGAATTAATGGTGGGTGCCACCATACTTGGACAATGTATATATTTTAAGGCAGGTATAATACTGGCCAGCTGTGGTGACACAAACCTGAATCCTAGGACTTGGAAGATGGAGATCAGAGGATCAGGAGTTAGTTAAAGGCCAGTCTCAGCTCCATAGCTGGTTTCAAAAATATCAGAAATGGCTGCTGGCTGGTGTGTTTAATTTGGTATTTAATGTAAATAGACTAATTGTTAAATGTGTTTTGCTTACTTCAACTTTTTGATGGCTAATTTTGTGTTAAGATGGCTTTGTATTTGGTGACTACAATTACATTAGATTATATTTCAATTAAAAAGTATGACTTTTGAAATTTAGCCAATAAGAGTAAAGTATGTAAGTTAACGTGACTAGGAAAGTGGATTGAGTTTTTTGCTGTGTCACAGTACCAGTAACCACAGTTTTATCTGTTGGGGCAGCCAGAAGGCAGAGTAGCTCAACTGCTACATTTGTTTAGAGAAAGTAGTTATCCTATGACTTTTCTTTTGTCTTTTTGAGATGGTTTTACTTTGTAGCTTTTTGTCCTGGAACTTGCTCTCTACACCACAGAGCTATACCTGCCTCTGCCTCCTATGTGCTGGGATTAAAGGTGTGTGCCACCACCACCTGGCGTGTTCTATGACGTAATGAACATGTGTCATGTGGATATGGTTGGTTGCTTTTTTGTTAATTTTTTTTTTTTTTTTTACAGACAGGGTGTCACTGTATAGGACCAGCTTAGAACTCACTGAGATCTGATCTATCTGCCTCTGCCTCTGGAATGCAGGGATGTGCCTCCACAAGTGGCACTTTTCTTATTTATTTTTGTCCTATTTATTTTTATGGTATTTATGTACTTATTTTTGTGGTACTAGAGACCAAACCTTGGGCGTTAAACCTGCTAGGCAAGTATTCTACCATTATATTCTCAGCCCTCCATACTTTTCTAGTCTCACTAAGTTAATATTTTTGACAACTAATTACAGGTATTAACTAAAAAGGACAAAGTCTACATTGTTTTTCCCATCTTCTAATTCCCAAGGTCCTAAAGGAAGGCTAATGAATTCATAAAATCAGAATTAGTTGGCAAGACTCCCTCTGATTTGTTGTTTTTCAGATGAGAAAGATCATCCAACAATGATTTACTGAGCTCTAATGTGTCAAGTACAGGTGCTGGGAATACAAACAGACAAAGTCCCCGCCTTTGAGGAACTTACATTTATTTTTAAAAAATATCTAATATATTTGTTTACTTTATTATTATTTTGAGATACGGTCTGTGCAATCCAAGCTGGCCTCAAATTTATGGTAAATTCCCTGCCTTGGCCTCTCAGGTGCTGGAATTGCAGGTATGTACTATCACACTGGGCTTGTGTTTCTATTTTTAATTGCTAAAACAGAACTTCCTACTGTCAGATCATGAAAAGAAAAATACAACTTAGATTCTCAGACATACTAATTTAAATAACAGTCTGCCACTGATTCTACTGCCATATCAAATAATATAGCCTATAATTACAGCGAAAACAGAAGGTATTCTAACTACACAACTGCTATTTTCTTCTTAGCTTGTTCTTTGCTAGTACCTGGTCTGTATTTAGTAGTGAAATTAAAGCTAGCGGCTATAAATTTATTGGCTCAATATTGGTTACCAAGCATAACCTAAAATTCAAATGATCTAAGGCAGGTACATGGATTATAATAGTTGTAGATATAAACACAAGATTCTCTAAAAATATTCATATTTTAACTGTGTACTTGAACCTGTGAGGTGCATGCAAACTGCAAAGCCATATGCTTACTGGAGTTAGGCTATGGCTCACACTGCTTTTAATATGGCCCAAAGACATATTTACTAGATAATCACACCTTTGGGAACACAATGGTTCTTCCAGTTTATTATGTCACCTACCCTAACAGTGACCACATAATGTCATAAGTCAACATGGCTAAGGATGCACTATGGGTTTTTTTGTTGTTGTTGTGACTTTCAAAGACTTCATGTGATCAAAATACCTTTTAAAGGTCAGTAACAATAGCCTTAGTCTATTTACCAGGAAACATTAGATCTATCCTTAAGATCAGGCAATTATACGAGCAGCGATTGGATTTATCGTTAAAACAATCAAGACGAAACAATTCCCATCGTTCAGGCTTTACAACGGACCTCCTCAGAGTAGGACCCGAGAACGCGGCAGCGGGCAGAGTGCAGAGGAATTGTCTTTACAACAAACAGCTTTGGTTCTCGGAAGATGGTCAGACGGAAAGGCCTTTGGCCGCTACCAGTACTTTGCCCAAGGGAGTCCCTAAGTTAATATTAACTCAAGAGTTCCTCTGGTCAGAACGTACACATAGACTACCGTTCAACTTTGTCTCTATTTGTAACAACAAATTCTGCACGTATCCATCTTCTCGGAGATCTTCCTGTAAGACAGCCGGCTCCGGGTCAATCAGGGTAGCAGAGCCTGTTCCTCCAACCTTCCAGGGGTGAAAAGTCCGACTGTGTCAAATCTTGGAAATCATGGCCAGATGCCTTTCCACTGCCTGTTCTCATTGACCTCGACAGCCTCAGCTCCTCACCACTGACCTAAGTCCTATCTGGGCCCGGACTCATGCTGTCCACTCAGACTGGGCGCTTTTAACCCCTCCGCCCTCGGGAGAACAGATCCTAGTTCGGCACGGACAGACACCAGGCTACCCTGCTCGGCCTGTCTACTGGCTCGATTTCGTGCTCATTTTGATAAATCCGGGGCACCGCGCCGATCAGCCCGCGCGATGGCACAAGGAGTTTCCCCCCACCACGACACGCAGATTTCGAAAGTCTGGACCCGAGAGAGGCGGCTGCGGTCTCGCGAGAAGAGGCAGGCCCCGCCCGGAGTTCGCGGCCCCTCCCGGCCCCACCCTCCCCACGTCCCCCGCCCTCCCTCCCACACTCCCCGTGGCGCGAGCGGCTGACTGAGCCTGG